TAAAATAACTTCAACGGAAAAATGACCTGCAACTATGCAACTACTGTGGCTGAAGGTGACAACAGAGGGATGCTCCACCAACGAGATGCCGTGCCTGTTCTCTTAGGTCACTGAAAATACTGCCTCTAAAGGACTCAACTAGATCCCTTGCCTCTTAGCAAAGAGAACTCTGGGAGCTGGCAGAATGCTGCAGTAGGTTAAGCTACCAATTGCAATGCTGCAACTGACACCCAGAATGCTGGTTTGAGTCCCAGCTGCTTTGCTTCTGACCCCGCTTCCTGCCAATGTACCTGGAAAGGCAGAAGATGGCCCAAGTATGTGAACTCAACCATCAATATGGAAGACGCGGATGGAGTTCCCAGCCCCTAGTCTCCTTACTGGCATGGCCCAGCCATATGGGGGCAGTCATATGGGGGCATGAATCAGAGGATGCAAGAACCCTTTGTCATTCTGCCTTTTCTAATAATTTTTTTTAAAAAGTATTTTTTATCACTATTATGATTTTACAAAGAGGATCCTTTTTTTAAAAAAGATTTGTTCATTTTTATTGGAAATGCAAATTCTAAAGAGAGCAGAAGAGACAAGAGAGAGAGAGATCTTTCATCTACTGTTTCATTCCCCAAATGGTCACAACAGGAGGAGCTGAGCCAATCCAAAGCCAGGAGCTTCTTCTGGGTCTCCCACATGGGTGCAGGGTCCTATAGACTTGGGCCATCCTCCACTGCTTTCCCAGGCCATAAGCAGAGAGCTGGATGGGAAGTGAAACAGCTGAGATATGAACTAGTACCTGGCAACTGCAGGTGGCAGATTAACCAACTGAGCCATCATGCCAGCCCCACAAAGAGGATTCTGAAGAGAAAGCAACAGGTGCTATGGGAGCTGAGTTGCCTTGGGCCAAGAGTTATCACCGGTGCACAACAAAGCAAATGATAATTTCTGGGTTTACAGAGACCTGCTCCCCTGCCTACAGACACCTAACATGTAGGCAAAGAGGAGATTCTGTGGCTTTCTTTCAAAACTGTGGATGTTCATCAAGCATGAAATGAATACCACCTCTCTACTGCAGAGTGGAGGAGAGCTGCAGAGCTGCAGAGCCGCAGAACCGCACGTGTGTGAAGCATCAGGGACTGCATGAGGCTCCACACACAAAGGGGACCAAAAGCACCCTGATTGTTATTGATTCATTTTTTATTTAGAGGGGGTAAGAGACAAAAGAAAGAGAAAAGGAGATGAAGGAGAGCTCCCCTATCTGTTGGTTCACTGCTCAGTGCTGCAACTGCTGGGGGCTGAAACCAGGAACCAGGAACTCAATGTAACAACAATGAGCTAGAAGAGGAAGCGGAGTAGGAGCCCACTCAGTCATTCCATTAGTGGGCGGGGGAGGGAGGGTGTCCTGATCAGTCTCTTAACTACTACACCAAACACTCAGTCCAGAGACTTGAAAGCATTTCAATCAGGCAGCAAAGTACACCTAAAAAAAACAGAAATTCGGTAATACAGGGACAAAACAGGGCTACTTTGCATTTAAAAAGGTTTTTTAAAAAACAGATCACTTCAAGAGAAAAATTCCTAGAGTGAAAAAGGAATTTGTATCAGCAGAAATTAACTAAATAGATTACACTACACAGAGCACACCACAGGAGACAAAATGAAGATGCCACTACCCTTTTAAAGATCCCTTTAAAGATAGCATTTCTTCCTCCACCAGGATTTTAATGCCCTGTCTTAAAGACCTCTTCTTCACTCTCTCCCTTAATGAAAGCTAGGTTTCAGTTTCAATTCAATTCAGCCAAACACAAATTCATTGTGCTCACACTGCAGAAGGGATATAGGGAACTTAAGGTTGTACATTTTGGCCTCGATCCCTATCAAAACAAAACAAAAAACCAAAAAACCAGCCCACCAGGCATTAATACAGTTTAGACCCGTGTGTGGAACAATAACCCAGGAACTTCTCTCTCTAGACCTGTTTAAGCTGGGAACCATGTGTGGTGGAGCTCCCTCAAGGAACAAAAAAAATCAAAAGGACTTTCCACGTTATGTGTACTTTCCACAACTGAGTTAAGATCCCCACACCCCATACTGCAGTACATGGTTAAAATCCCTGGCTCCAACTTCCTGCTACTGCAGTCCACACAAGTCAGCAAAGATGGCTCAGGCTAAGCAGGTACTTAAAGACAGGGGAACATCTCAAAGGACAAAAGGACTTTCAGGAATCTGTGAAAAACAATTTTTCTTCCCAAGTTTACTTATTTTGGGGCCTGCACAGTGAGTAAAGAAACTACCTGTAACACCAATATTACATATGGGCACTGGTTCATGTCCCACTCCCGACTTCTGATCCAGGTCTCTGCTAATGCATCTGGGAAAGACAACAGAAGCTGACCTGGGTGTCTGGGCCCCAGTCAGTCATGTGGAAGACACAGACAAAGCTTCTGCTTTCTGGTTTCTGGACCCTGGCCTTAGTGGCGTGGCCCAGCCCTGGCTGTTGCGGTTATCAGAGAAGTGAACCAGCAGATGGACGATCTCTCTCTAACTGTATTCTCAAGTAAACCATTTTTTAAAATTTATTTATTTGAAAGACAGAACAGAGAGAGGGGGAAAGACAGAGTAGGAGGAAGGATCTTTAATCCGTTGGTTCACTTCCTAAAAGCTCCCAACAGCCAGAACTGGGCCAGGAGGAATCAAGAAGCTGAGAACTCCATCTAGATCCCACCCACAAATTGCAGGAACACAATCACTTGGACATCTTCCACTGCAGGAAGCTGAACTGGAAACTGAGCATCCAGGACTGAAACCAGCACTCCGACATGGGATCCTGTTGGTGCAAACAGGATCCTTCTACATCACAACAAGCTTCAGATCTGCAAAAACCTTAAGATCAAAATAAATATAATTCCTTGACTATGAATCCCTATACAATATTAAATAGATGAGAAAGGAATTCTTTATTACAACAGAATGCCAACTAACAAATACATTTTAATTTATTCTTTAGGAAATGCTTATTAAACACAAGTACAGTCAACTGATTTTTGGCAAAAGTGTCAACAACATAGATTGAAAAGAAAAGGCATTTTAATACATAACATTAGAAAAGCTAGGTATCCATGTACAGAAAGATGGAACTAGACCTCTGTCTTCCATCATGTGCAAAACCCACCATGCTGCAATGGACTAAAGACCTAAATGTCAGAGCTCAAACAAAATATTAGAAGAAAACATTAGGGAAACACTTTAGAATACTGGAGCGGGCAATGGTTTTAGGGATGAAACACCAAAAGCAAAGGAAACAAAAGCAGAGATAAATGAAATTTCATTAAACCAAAGAGCTTCCGCAAAGCAAACAAAGTAAACAGACAACCTACACAACGAAAGAAAATGTTTGCAAGTTACACTACTAACAAGAGGTTAATATCCAGAATACAGAAGAAATTCAAATAACTTGACAGCCCCCAAAATCCAAATAATCTAATTTAAGAATGGACAGTAGATGTACACAAGCATTTCTCAAAGGAAGACACACAAATGGTCAATTTGTACCTGAAAAAATGCTCAACATTATTCATCATCAGGGAAATGCAAATCAAATTACAGGAAAGCATCAAGGTCACTGCAGTTAGACTACTACTGTCAAAAAGACAAAAGTACTGGGGAGGACGTGGGGGAGAGGGAAGAATTTCTCAAAAACTACAAATAGATCCACCATATGATCTAGTGATCCCACTGCTGCATGCAGATCAAAGCGGTGGAATCAACAGATCAAGAGACATCTGTGTGTTCGTGTTAAATGTACTGTTCACAACAGTTGAAAAATAGAAATAACCCAAGTACTCACCTTGTAATGGATAAAGAAAATGTGGCACATACACACAATGGAGTACCACTCAGCCATAAAAAAAGGATGAAACCTTGTCATTTTCAACAACATAAATGGAACCAGAGGCCATTACGTTAAATAAATGAAGCACAGAAAGGATAGTATCACAGGATCTCCCCTAAATGTGGGGCTTGGAAAAAAAAGATTTCACAGAAGTTAAAACTTCTGTGGGCATTGTGCCACAACGGCTAAGCTGCCACTTGGGACGCTTGCATTTCATGCTGGGATGCTGGAACACAGTCTTGCCTCCACCTCCAATCCAGCTCCCTGCCAACAATGCATCTCAGAAGCAGCAGATCACGGTCCGAGTGCTTGGGCTCCTGCCACACACATGGGACACCTGGACAGAACTTTGGGCTCCTGGTTTTGACCTGATCCAGTCCCTGCTGCTGTGGGCATTTTGGGGGAGTACCACCACACAGAAAGTGTTTCTATCACTCTGATTATCAAACTTAAAAAAATAAAGCACAATGGGGGTTACCATAGGCTGAGGAGGAAAGGAGTAAGGAAGAATGGGGAAAGGATGACTAGCAGGTACTAAGTTATAGCTGATCGGAGAGTTTCTGTGGCTCTAGCACACGGCAGGTTGACTGTTGAATATGTTAATGGATTATGAGTGCACACACACATATACATATATGTATTTCTAACTTATTTCAGCTTTTAGAAAATGAGCATGTGCTTCTTTTCCAAAATCATGTGTAATACTCAACAGTGGCCTCAAAAAAACAACACACGTACATCTCTAGAACAACCTCTAGAGCCACCATGAGGAGAGCAGACACACAAGTTCCTCCACACAGCAAGTACATGAGCCACCATTCTGACCCCTTACTCGGGAGAGGAGTTCCGACGCCACAGGGAGGCAACCTAAGATTAAAAATGAAACAAAACTGCAGGGGAAATAAATTACTAAAACCAGCACCAAGATTTATGGAAATTTTTGATTTGCTTTTAAACTTATTATGAGAACAAAGAGAAGTGGTGATGATGCTTGCTATGATGTGAAATACAAATGGTTAACTGATGCAAAGAAACAGAGAGGATGACAGGCTATAGGACAGGTCAATCTCAGGCTATCGAGAAGCCATTTGAGACATGTAATTAATCTAGTACTCACCTAGCATCATCATTCATTGTGGTATGGTCAATAGGTGCCATGAAGCTCAGCAGCTTGCTAAGGACGTGAAACCTGAACAAAGTGTGAAACAGACAGACAGCAACATTAGGAACTGTTCACGTAGAAATAGAATCACATTCTATGAATTGACAAATTCCAGAAAGATGACAGGAACATCCAGAGAGGAATAGAGGAAAATTCATAAGCACTTGCCACATATAACTGCCCTCTCCCATAATACTATGAGTGTAAAAGGATACAGCAATACATTGTAAAGAACAGAGATCAACACACATCTGTTTATAGCACAGCCCCCAAAAGGAGAAGACATACTTGTTCTCTTGAGCAACATCCAAACCCTTCCAGATAAAAGACAATGAGGACTTGACTACCCATAGTCCTCCTTTACACACATGTAATCCTTTTTTTTAGTGTCATTTAGGCTACCTACTGGCAACAACAGCACAGGTGGTGTACTAACACATGAATGTAATCCCTCACTATGCCTGATTCACCCGCACTGGTTCCACATCATTCAGCCCCTTGCTTTATTTATTTTTTTTTTTGAACTACCTAACTTTAAATGTAATCCAGCTTGCTTGCTTCCCATACCTTCATATAAGGTATCGGTGAAATTTACAATACATCACCCACCCACAATTCCCAATAGAGAAAAGGGCACTTTTTCCAAGTTCTCAGAGACTCCTTGACAACATGGACTGCAACAAATGATCTTGTACATCACAAAAGGTAGCAGAAAGGAACCCTTTCCATTCATTAAAACAAAGAGGCTGGGGGTTCCCCACACAGGTGCATGTGAGCATATGTAAAATCAATCCAGCTTTACTTGGGTAAAACACTAACCACAATAAGAATATAAACAAAATATTCCATGTATTTAATTATTTAGACTTTTAGAAACAATTCTGCATTTATTAAATAATTTAATTCTCACTATATCACTCACAGAAAAACCTCCCAAATTTTACCTTTTTTCTTAACAAGTGAATTTTGTAAGCGATATAACATTCCCCATTACAAGAGTAACAAAAAGTATAAATTCGTTACAAAAAGCTTGGAAAATCAAGAACACACAAAAGATGCAGATTTCCTCTACCCATACAAAACTGCTGCTATAACTTACATTACTACTAAGCTAGCTTTATATTGTGATCCTTCTGCCTATAGATTTATGTAGTTTTCTAAGCATCGTCTCCCAATGGCTGCATACAACTGCAGGAGAAGCACCACAATCTAGCTTATATTTTTGAATATTTCTACTGTTTCCAATTTTTTTTTCTATAATAAAAAAAAAACCCACAAAACTCTATGGATTATACTGAAAAGTCCTCTGCTAGTACTATTCCCTAGAAACAATCACTGTTATTTAAAACTAAATTTGGCTGCTGTATTTTCCTTGTTTAAAAACTGAATGTATTTGGGGTTGGCACCATGGCATAGCAGGCCAAGCTTCCACCTACAGTACTGGCATCCCATATGGTGCACCATTCAAATCTATCTGCTCCATTTCTGATCCGACTCCCTGTTTATGGCCTGGGAAAGCAGTGTTAAGATGACTCAGGCCCCCGGAACCCTGCACCCACATGGGAAACCTGGAAGAAGCTCCTAGCTTCAGATCGGCACAGCCCTAGTCATTGCAACCACGTGGGGAATGAACCAGCACATGGAAACTCTCTGCCTCTCCTTCTCTCTGTAACTCTTTCAAATAAGAAAATAAATCTTTTTTAAAAATTTAATATATTTATCATAAAAATGGTATTGTGACATACCTGTGTATAATGGCCTATCAGTTCACAATGGATAGCATATACAACAGTGTGCAGTCATCTACCCCATGCAGGATGGTGTAAGTGCACTCTACGATGCTTACACACTGATGAAATTGCCTAAAAATGCATTTCTCAGAACATCTCCCCATCATTAAGTGACACATGATTCAATATTATGCATTATGCTTTTTTCTGCTGAAGTATATCATTTTCTATTCTTGTTCATAGTTCAGAGCAAGTCATTATGTTGATTTAATGTAATTTTTTGAGTCTCCTATTGATGGATATATATATATATGCGTATAAATTAAAATAAATTCTCTTTTAAACATAATGGCAAGGTACAAATTCTTATACATAAATTATTTTATAACTTTTATTTTACATTTTAAAAAGAGATTTATTTTTATTTACTTAAAAGAAGAGTAGAGACATTTTCCAGCCATTGATTCACTCCCCAGGAGGACCCTAACAGCCGAGGCTGGCACAACCTGTAGCCAAGCACCAGAACTCAGCTCAATGTCTCTCACATGGGTAGCAGGGGCCCAAGCACCTGAGCCATCATCTGCCGCCTCCCAGGCTGCAAAAGCTGCATTGGAAGCATAGCAGGCAGGACTCCAACTGGTATTTCAAATCAGGATCCAGGAGTCAAAAGTGCTGAGGGAGCTACCTCTATCTGCTGGTTCATTCTCCAAATGGCCACAATGGGCAGGGCTAGGCCAAGCGGAACCACAGGCTTCTTTGGGATCTCTCACATGTGTGCAGGGCTCCAAGCATTTGGATCATCCTCCGCTTGTTTCCCAGACAGGTGGATCAGAAGTGGAGCAGCTGAGACCTGAACCGGTGTCCACATAGGATGCCAACACTGCAGTCAGTGGCTCAACCTGTTACACCATAATACCAGCCCTTCATATATTTTATGAGATAGATTTTGAGTTGTGAAACTGCTCAATGAAGAGGTAGGCATGTGTAAAACAGGGAAGCTGCACCAAAATGCCCTCCCAGGGGCTGTGTCAATGCATGGACAGATAAACATTCACACAATCTTTTTATTTAAAGACACAATACAAACACTAAAATAAATTTCAGTATCTTTGGGCTTCACTAAACTTGAAGTATCCTTCAAGAAATGAATACTATTTCTGCATTAACTTAATTTCTGGATAAAAATTATTAACTGCTTTTCTGCAGTTACAGTTTCCACTACCAGTATCCACTACCCATCTATGGTTAACTGAACACTTGAAATGTGGCTAGTTTGAATTGTGACGTATTTCACTATAAGACACAAATCAGATTTTGAAAATCTGAGATAAAAGAATGACATACAGTACTAAGAACACTTAAAGTAATAGTTGATCAACAGACTGAATACATACTGAGTTAAACAAAGTCATACAAAACAAAGTCATCTGTTTAATTTTTTTCTTCAGTGTGACTGCTAGGGTATTTAAATTGGCACTGCTCGATAGATTATACCGTAATGCAATATATTCAGTAACTATTAAGTACATGATGAAACATAGGCTTTACATAAGCTGGCAAATTCTGGGCGTGGGCCTGGACACAGGCAGCAGCTCCCACCAGCATGAACGTGGTCAGAATGGTGGGGCTGGTTCAGCTGAGCTAGGTTTCAATGCCCAGTGATACGAGAGCTAAACACTGCTGCACATACCGGCAAACATACCAGAACCAGGGCTGGGAGTAGGCTTGGTGGAGGTTACTGGAGATCGCCCCAACGAAGCTGCAGCTCCCACTGGTGAACGTGAGGACTGAGTATGTGGTGGGCAGTATTGAGTTGGGACAAAGCATCCATCGGTTTATGTAAGAGAGAGGGTTGAAAATAGAACTGACCCAGCAATTGCAACCACCAGTGTGCATGTAGGCTGACATGGGTGTCAGAGCTGGACCCCATACTGGCAAACAAACACAAGAGTCAGATCTAGTATTGCCACACAAGATTTCTGTGCGGAATCCCCCCAACAACTACTGAACCCAGATCTCCAATCATTGGGAGAATCGTGGGATCTGTGGTCCAACTGTGGAGTGCATGTGTCAGAACTGGACCTCCTTAGTGACTAAGATGGAGCAGTAGACAGCATGCCCAGATGCACATGGAAGATACAGCAGTCCATTGGGGTCTGCAGAGGAAATCTGGTACCACAGCAGAGAAAGGAGAGCAGAACAAATTGGTCAACTGCCCTAGCCAACCACTGACAGCTAATATCTGGGCAAATGGAGACTCTAAGGCAACTGTGTCAGCAGACACACCTTGGAAGGATTTCCTCATTCCCTGGATCAGCGAGACTGACATATTTCAAAAATCGGAAACTCAGGGATGGCACTGGGTGGCCATTCCCCAGCCCCAGGTACTGGAGAGGCAGGGAAGGTTTGGGTGCAGTTCTCCCCTAATTTCCTCCCCTTTCCCCAGATACAGGAGGAAGAGGGGTTAAATTTGAAAACAACTACCTCACCCACATCCCCCTAGTTCTCCACCCTTCTCACCCTGGTCAACTATGTAAACATCAGCAGAAATAAAAATAAAAAAATAAAGACAGGCTTTAAGAAGCCGTCAGACTAAAGGCAATGTAGTAATGTGCACTTAACGTATTCCAGCTGATCTTAGTGTTCCTGAGGAAACCTGTGTGTTTTTGTATGAAAACATCTTTTTACCAGTCATACTGAGGCAAATGTAACTTTGTTATGGAAGAACAGACCAACACCCATAGGCAGACATGTAGCCTTATCCTATGGTTAAGATGCCAGTTAAAATGCTCACATGCCATCTCAGAGAACTTGGGTTTTGATATCTGCCTCTGGCTCCAGACTTTCGCTTCCTGCTACTGCAGATCCTGGCTCAAGTACCTGGATGTGTGCCATTCACGTGGGAGACCTAGACTGTCCAACTCCAACCGTCAGGGGAAAACTCTCTAAGCCTTTCATATGTATAAACAATTTTTAAATGTTAGACTAAGAAGGCAAGACATCTTATTAGAGGGCCCTAGGTTTCCTTATTCAACCATGTTACATCCACTTACACGTTGTACTGAATAAAATAATAGTAATAATTGGCTATTAACAAAATAAAATTTTTCTTTTACTTTCTAGAACCTAATAAGCAAGCTGCCATGCCCAGTTTGACTAGGTTGTGATTTATAATGGCCTGTTATCATTTAAGCTGTTTCAACAAGGTAATGTTAATCCTCAATGTGTTTCTGGAAATCTTATCTTCTCAACACTATCACAAAGAGCAAAAATTGCTCAATAGTGGGACGTGTGTCA